TGGGAAAGGCCAGAAGCATAAATCTCCATGGAAGGCCCATGATGGATGAGAGCAAAACGCAAAAGAATATTTAAAAAAAATCTAATTGCAAAGGCTAGTTGTGCAACATTTAATCTCCACTCTATTGGTTGGTTCGGGGCAATTTCGGGCACATCCGCTTCTCCGTACTGGAAAGGAAACGTAAAACAAAAGAATTGATCTCTGGTTCTTTCTGAACAAAACGCTAAACCCACCCTGAACACACAATCAAGCATTCCCTCCCAGCAGATCTCCTTCCTCCTCTACTGAATACTCGGGAGTAAAATATTAAACCAGCCTTCTGGGGAAGGACCTCCTCTCTTGGATGATTCATGGCTTAATCAGCAAGGTCCAAAGTTGGTCTTGGCCAGAAGAAACCCCTGTTCTACCAGCCTTTTCCTTCCCCCTCTCTATAAAGGAAGGTCCGCTCCCAATCTGGGGCGTTCCTGGGATAGAAGGGGATTTCCATTCTAAGTCCCCCTTTCCAGGCATCTCGTAGACCAGGGATGTCAAACTCAAGGCCTGGGGACCAGATCCAACCCACAGGGTGCATCGATCTCCCCCGGAAGGCCTCCCCGGAAACAGCAAAGGACGGGCCCACGGTGCCTCTGCAAAGCAAAAATGGAGGTCGGGGGCGCGTGAGGCCCTCCCATGCCCCATTTTCACTGGCAGAGGGCTGCAGGAGGCCATCATGGCCAAACCTGCAGTGTGGGGGAGTTGCATGTGGCCCACCCAGGCTCTGTTTTCACTGTCAGAGGGCTATCAAAACAAACTTAAAACAAAAGAAAAGCAGAAATACTTCCCCTCTTGCATTTGAGCATGCAAGAATCGACAGGAAAGGAGAAAGGAAAAGAGGAATGATGGGAAGAGAGGAAGAGAGGAAGGGAGGGAGGGAGGGAGGAAGGAAGGAAAGAAGAAGGAAGGTGTAAAGGAAGAAGGAAGGTGTAAAGGAAGAAAGGAAGGAAAGAAATTCATAAAGGAAGGAAGGAATCAATGCATAAAGGAAGGAAGGAGGGAAGGAAAGAATCAATGCATAAAGGAAGGAAGGAATCAATGCATAAAGGAAGGAAAGAAGGAAGGAAGGAAAGAAGGAAGGAAGGAATCAATGCATAAAGGAAGGAAGGAGGGAAGGAAGGAATCAATGCATGAAGGAAGGGAGGGAGGGAGGAGGGAGGGAGGAAGGAAGGAATGCAATGGAGGAAGGTAGGAAGGAGGAAGGAAGGAAGGAAGGAAGGAAGGAAGGAAGGAAGGAAGGAAGGAATCAATGCATAAAGGTAGGAAGGGAGGGAGGGAGGGAGGGAGGGAGGGAGGAAGGAAGGAAGGAAGGAAGGAAGGAAGGAAGGAAGGAAGGAAGGAAGGAAGGAAGGAAGGAAGGAAGGAAGGAAGGAAGTTCTGCATTAGCAATTGTCCATCACAGGTGGATAGGACATGAGTGACATCGAGCTTGCTACCCTCACCCTGGTCATGCCCCCCCCCCAGCCCTCTGAGGTCAAACCCAACCCAGATGTGGCCCTCAATGAAATCGAGTTTGACAGCCGTGCCTTAGACTGTCTGGCAAAAGCCCGTGACTTCATTGCACAGTCACCTCAGGGCACAGACCGGTCCTATATGACCTCTAATCCTTGGCGGTATTTGGAATTCTAGTTACCATACAAGAAGAAAAGCTGTGAGAAAGGAAAGGAACTTTGCTTACATTTTACTGCTGAGGACCTCTTATTCTCCAAATTATAACAGAACCTTTGCTCTTCGGCACATATTGTCACATCATAACTGCCGTAGAAACATACCAGAGTCGTGACTGGATAAACAAAAAAAAAGAGAGCGCTCTTATTTTGATATTTCTTTGATCTTGTGTTATTACGTATTGGATCATCTCTATGGAATAAACTCAGCTGGGAAAATGTTAATAGAAAGATAATAGAACAGTCTGTGAACCAGGAGTCTGTGAGGTCCAGTCTCACCTTAACCAAGAAATCCACACGAGTCAATTGTTCTCTCCCCCAACCTACTTCACTGGACCATGGACCCTCCTTACGCAGAGCAGAACAGTGAGAAAGTCCCACCACCAGAATGGAGCACAACTGCTTCAGATACCCAACATCCCTCAGTCCCCTCAGTCTGTCTTGGATCATCACCCAAAATCAAAGGTTCGGGAGCCTACCTGGGTCCTTGCAGATGAAAGCCACCACCAATAACACAAATAGCAAAGCCTTCATCTTGAAATCTTCTCTGCAGCCTCCAAAGTGCAGTCCAGGATGGGGGAAGGCAGTTATGTACACCTCTACCCCGCCTTGTGGGGGCTGGAAATCCAGGTTCAAGAGAGCATGGAGGCTTGGGAAAGAAGGGAGGGGGAGGGGCTGTGATCTCGTTATCCTTGCCACCAAAAGGGAAATTAGATCTGCCCAGACAAAGAACCAACCGGTCCCCCTATTGAAAAAAGAAGGTATCGTTCCATGCAAAATGTGGGCTCCTGGACAATTGCCATTTCCTCCTGAATTGATAGAAGGTAGCACAACTTGCGCAGAGGACAAAATTAAAGCAAGCAGAAATGTTACACTGAACTCCCTACAAGAGGAGAAGTGAACTGAGCTGATTGCTGATAAAGCTTGAATGATTTATGCTTTTTCAATTAATCAGAATCGAACTGGAAGGGACATCAAGAGGTCTTCAAGTCCAACCCCCTGCTCAAGCAGGAGACCCTCTACCATCTCAGACAAGGGATTGTCCAGCCTCTTCTTGAAAGCCTCCAGTGATGAAGCACCCACAACGTCTTGGTTTGATCGCAAACATGCTGCTTAAATATTGCACATATTGTCAAAATTTCCCCTTGATCCATGCACAAAATTCACTAGAAAACCTAATTAAGGGCCAACATAGGCATTTTTTTGGACTGCAAGCTTTCTCAGATCAGTTTGATAAGTTGAGGTTCATGGCCAAGATGTTCAGTCAATAACAGGGAAGAGAAGACCCTGATTATATGGTTGGGTTCTGCCTGTTCTTTATGCTTGTGGTGTCCCTGCAGAGGTTTGCTTATCAAGGTAACCCTGTCCACGCACGAGAGATTGAGGTTTTCCTTCCAAACCATGCTTAGATAATTTTATGTATCCTGCTATCCGTATGTAAAATTCACCAGGAAAGTAAACTATGGTCAGTGTAGGCATTTTTTGGGAGTGCAAGCTTTCCCAAATCGGTTTGGTAATCTGAGGTTCCTGGCCAAGATGTTCAGTCAATAACAGGGAAGAGAACACCCTGATTAAATGGTTGAGTTCTGTCTTATCAAGGTATCACTGTCCATGCACGAGAGAGTGAGGTTTTCTTTCCAAACCATCCTCAGATAATTCTATGTAGATAATGGAGATAATTTTAGGTATCCTGCTTAAAAAGGGGGGGGGTGCTGAAAAACAGCCATGATTAAAGAGAAGAATCAGATCAGAACAGGATCTGGACCAGGAACCGATGGTGTTCCATGGTCAGGAACAGGAGCTGGTCGAGGAGAACATTTCAACACTGGAATGTCCAACAATGGAGGGGCCCATTTGATAAATTGGGGGTGCTTCTTCATGGTTTCTGATGAGCGACCTGGAAAGTGGGGGACTGTAGCGTGAAGAGCTCATTCTTTACCATCTCCATCTTCTAGAGATGCTTGAGGGCTCACTAATCCAGCGGGTCAGAGACAAAAGAATGGGGAGGAACAGGCTCCGACTCAATCCCGCCAAGACCGAGTGGCTGTGGGTACCGGCATCTGGGTCCAATCGAGATATTCCATCATTGACCATCGGGGGTGAGGTGTTACCCCCTGTGGATAGGGCCCGCAATTTGGGTGTCCTTCTGGATTCACGGTTATCACATAGCGACCGTGACCAGGGGGGCATTTGCCCAGGTCCGCCTTGTGCGTCAGCTGTGCCCTTACTTGGACCAAGATGCCCTACGCACAGTTACTCATGCGCTGGTCACCTCCCGTCTTGACTACTGCAACGCTCTCTACCTAGGGCTGCCCTTGAAAACCACTCGAAGGCTTCAGCTGGTGCAGAATGTGGCCGCGCGGGTTGTGATGGGAGTGTCGGGACCAACTATTCAACAGCACTCTCACTTTTGGTTACATCAATAATACTGAGGTGTGTATATGTGCATCTTAGTATCAATATTGGGGAGGGGGATTTATTGTATTCCTGGCATCAATGAACTTTCATTCTCCCACCCAACGTCAGGCCAGCAAGCCAGTGATCAATTAGATGATCAATTAGAGGGGAAAGTATAGATCCCCAGAGCATGACACACTGGAGATCCAGGTGGCTTCCATCTCATGATGATTTGGAGGTCCTTCAAGTCCTACCCTTCTCCCAGGAGTTGGGCAAGGGTGGTTGGAGCCCCTTGTGCAATTACCTCACAACTGTTATGTTGTGAACAAGATTTGTCAACTGTTATTCTTACTTGCTACATTTTTGTAATGTGTATTTGTTTTTCTTTCTACGCCATGTGGTTCCTAGATTTGAAAAGAACTAGGCTGCTCCTAAATCAAATTAAATTTAGAAAAATTCCCACTCAGTCCTAACACCCAGCTAAGTGATCTCTGGTGTCCCCTTCAACACTCTCACTGTAGAATTGAGAAGAGCTTCAGACCAGCCTTCAGAGCCAACTATCAAATCAAGATCTGTCTCCTCTCAGGTGGGTGGGATGGAGAAGAGGCCTGCCATCCTTCACCCCAAATCTCACCTCCACTCCTGACACCTCCTGACACCTCCACTGTTTCAAGGCATCTTCATCTTCCTCTCAGCTTGCTCCAGAGAGAAGAAAGGGAGGGAAGGAGCAGCACTGAAGTTTGAGGTTTCATTGAGGAAAGTACTCAGTTGATGGTTTCCCCTCTTTCTGAATGTAAGGTTATTACCCCGTTAGCAGAGGTGGTATTCAGCAGGTTCTGACCAGTTCTGGAGAACCGGTAGCGGAAATTTTGAGTAGTTCAGAGAAAAATCAAAACACTTGAATTGAATGCTAAGGTTTATTTGATTCTCAAACTACAGAACTAGCAGAAGGAAACTTAGAGAACAAGAGAAAAGGGAAGGATGATGAGGTGTCAAAGACAGCAGGGGGGAAGGGGATTATGGACCATCTGGTGGTAAAGGCCGGGAGCATAAATTTTCAAGGATGGCCCATGATGGATGAGAGCAAAACTCAAGGAATTTAGGCCCTTGTAGATCTAGCAGTTGCACTTGTCAGTTGCGCAACACGTAACTTTCTCATTTTCTCCTGGAACAGGGCAGGTGTCAGCACATCCCCTGACGGTTTTCATTCCTGTGAAGGAAGCACAAAGCAGAATGATTATTTTTTTAAAAAAATACCAAAGAACAGACCTGTGGCTGTTGCTGAACAAAACGGTAAACCCACTTTTAACACATGCATGGATTCCCTCCCAATAGGAAGGCTGGTTTCCTTTCTCCTCTAATCAGTACTCAGGAGTCAATGAATAAAGAAGAGATTTCTGGGAAAGTCCCACGTTTTGACATGACTCAGGGGCAATTCCACCTTTCCTGGAAGTTTCATGGCTTCATCCATTTTCCCTCAATTCCAGAAGAAACTTTCAGCTCTCCCAGCATTTCCCTCCCCCCTTCTCTAAGGAAGGTTTCCCCCTCCAGTCTGGGCTGCTTCTGGGATGGACGGGGCTCCCCAGTGCAAGCCCCCCTTTCCTTGCATTCCTTAGAGTGTCCGGCAACAGGCCATGACCACAAGGGAACCCAGGAAGGGCACAGACAGGTGCTACGTGGCCACCAACTCTCAGGTGCATTTGGGAGCTCTAGTTTGGGTTCAAGAAGAAAAGCAGTGAGAAAAGATAAGAACTGCACTGACTGATCATATCATTATCTTTCCACGTTTGATAACATGCCTCCGCATCTGAACAATTCTTAAAGGTATTACATAACCTTCCGGTGCAAAAATAACATAGAATGGGGTATCCTGAATGAAAGATATAAAAAATAGAAATATTACTTTGATATTTATTTTTCTGAACTTGTCATCTTATTACATATTAGATGATAGATCTTTTCGTCCTAAAGTCAGCTGTGAAAATTTCCCTAGAAAGATCAAATGGTCTAGAAATAGGAAACCTGAGTTCTAATCCCACTTCAGGCATGAAATCCATCTGGATAACTCTGGGCCAATCACCAGGAGACTGTGAGTTCTAGTCCCACCTTAGGCATAAAAGACAATTTAGTGACTTAGTTCTGAAGGAACTGGCAGATGAGATCTCAGAACCATTAAAGTATATCTTTCAAAGATCCTGAAGCACAGGGGAACTGCCAGAGGACTGGAAAAGAGCTGATGTAGTTCCCATCTTCAAAAAAGGGGAAAAAACACTGTTAGTCCTGGGTTTTTTGCCTCCTGGGACAGTTAGCCACCAGCCAATCAGCTAGTTGCCAATTCTGGCAGCCAGAAGCCAGCTTCATCCAAAGGAGTTTTTGTTTTGGGTGGGTATCCTAGCCTTAGAAAGAAAGAGAGAAGGAGGAAGGGAGAGAGAGAGAGAGAGAGAGAGAGAGAGAGAGAGAGAGAGAGAGAGAGAGAGAGAGAGAGAGAGAGAGAGAGAGAGAAGGGAGACAAGAAAGAAAAGAAAGAAAAGAACAGAAAGAACAGAAAGAAAAGAAAGAAAAGAAAAGAAAAGAAAGAAAAGAAAAGAAAAGAAAAGAAAAGAGAAAAGAAAAGAAAGAAAAGAAAAGAAAGAAAGAAAGAAAGAAAGAAAGAGAAGGAAAGAAAGAAAGAAGGAAGGAAAGTGGGAGGGAGGGAGAGAGGGAGAGAGGGAGAGAAACATGAGAGGAAGGAAGGACCATCTGGCACTAGACACAGCTTCAGTGGATGCTTTGAAATAGCACAGCAATGCTCTTGCTTAGCAAACAAAATTTTGGGCTCAATTGTCATAACTCAAGGATTATCTCTGCCTTCCTCTGCATGGCTGCCTTGCCTAGTAAACTCCTTCCCTTTTCTGGAATTTCTCCTCTGTGATAGAGGCACATCTAATTATATCAAGGTGATATAAGGTCTCTTGCTGGAGCAGGGGGTTGGACTGGATGACCTCGGAGGTTCCTTCCAACCCTGGATTGCTGTGCTGTTTCAAAGCATCCACTGAAGCTGTGTCTAGTGCCAGGGTTTGTGGCCCTTCCTTCCTCTCCTTTTTCTCTCCCTCCCTTGCTAGCCTCTTTCTTTCTTTCTTTCTTTCTTTCTTTCTTTCTTTCTTTCTTTCTTTCTTTCTCTTTCTTTCTCTTTCTTTCTCTTTCTTTTCTTTTCTTTCTTTTCTTTCTGTTCTTTCTGTTCTTTTCTTTCTGGGATTAAAAAAAAACCTAACCTCTTCTGAAACAAACCATAAAATAAAAGCAAATGGAAACCTAAGTGGCTGGTCTCTGTATGGAAGCTGAAGGGTCTCTCTGGACTATGAACCCTGGACTGGCCCTCTTTCCACCTTGGACTCGGACGTACAATGACGTACAAGAAAGCCGACCTGCTAGCATTGCGAGACTCCCCCCTCTCGCAAGTTTGGCCCTCCACTTTATCGAGGGCCCACCTCGATGACGGGCTTTGGAACCCCGAGAGGTGGCATGCAAAAACTAGAGGGTTGAGGGGTTTTATATCAAAAAAATTTGTAAATTTTTTAAAGGATTCTAGGGAGGGGGAGGGTTTGATTGGAATGCGGGTTGTGGGTATGGGGGATAGCCCACAAAGGGGAGGGGCAGGCCTGGCAAGGAAGCACGGCGTGGGAGGTGGGGATCTCGGGGTCAAGGGGGGAGTCATAGTTTGTCCAGATAGTGTTCTGAACATCATTACCATGAGTGGGAGGGGTAGGTATGGCGGGAGCAGGGGGCCATATCGAGTCAAGGGAGCATGTACCCGCTGTTTACAAGCGGTGACATGCTCCGGCCCCCAAGGCTCCACCCGTTCCCCAGGTTGCACAGACCCTCAGGACCCTACCCTCCGGCTGATGCTGTGCAATGCCAGGTCCGTAATAAATAAAGCCCCCCTCATTTGTGAACTTATTTGTGAGGGGGGAGCGGACCTGGCGGGTATTACGGAGATCTGGTTGGGCCAGGAGGGGGGATCCCCCTTGTCGAGATGTGCCCACCAGGTTTCCTCGCATTCCATCGGCCGAGGTTACAGGGCAGGGGCGGGGGAGTAGCGGTTATTATTAAAGAAGGTCTGAGACCGAGGGAGGCCACTGTTCCTCAGACGGCCGGCTGTGAGTCCCTCCTCGTGAAGTGGGGTCGTGGGGTTCAGATGGGTTTGCTGATCACGTACCTGGCTCCCTGCCACGTGGTAACAGCCCTGCCCGAGCTACTCAACGTCATCGCCGCGGTGGCGGTTGATACCCCCAGGCTTATGGTCATGGGGGATTTCAACCTGCCGTCCATGGGTGAGACATCTGAGGTGGCTCGGGAGTTCATGGCTTCCATGACAGCGATGGACCTGACCCAGTTAATTCATGGCCCTACCCACACGGGGGGAAACACGCTGGATCTGGTTTTTGTCTCTGGACAGTGGCCGAGTGATCTTGAGATAGGGGATATAGTTACCGAGCCCTTGTCATGGTCAGATCACTCTCTCCTTCATCTCAACCTTCGAACCGCTGCACCCCGCCGCAGGGAGGCGGAGCCGGTAAGATGGTTCCGCCCCAGGCGCCTGATGGAACCTGATAGGTTCCAGATGGAGCTTGGGCCATTTCCCGAGGCTCTGGCACACGCCACGACTGGAGACCTAGTGGCCGCCTGGGATAGGGCGGCCGCTGGAGCTCTGGATCAGGTCGTGCCTTTGCGGCCTCTGACCCGACGCCAATCTCATTTGGCTCCTTGGTTCACTGAGGAGCTGAGGGAGTTGAAGCGCCGGAAAAGACGCCTAGAGTTTAGTTGGAGGGCCAGTCTTTCTGAATCGGACCGGACACTGGTAAGATCCCATATTAGGAATTACCTAGTGGCAATAAAAGCAGCGAAATGTAGTTATTTTGCTGCTCTTATTGCGTCATCAGATAACTGCCCGGCCACCCTGTTTAGGGTGACCTGCTCCCTGCTCCACCAGGAAGCGCGGGAGGACCCCTTGGAGGGTAGAGCCGAGGATTTTGTTCAGTATCTGTATGACAAAATCACTCAGATTCGGGAAGATCTGGACTCCGACTGGGTAGTCTCAGGGGGAGGGACTGGGGCAGGTCTTGAGAACGTTATCTGGGATGAGTTTGATCCTGTGACCCCTGAGGACGTGGACAGGATTCTGGGCAGACTGAATGCGACCACTTGTTTATTGGACCCGTGTCCTTCCTGGTTAGGGCTGCCTTCCCGGGAGGTGACGCAAGGCTGGCTCCAGGGGATTATAAATGCTTCATTGGGTGAGGGTGACTTCCCCGCCGCCTTGAAAGAGGCGGTGGTGAGGTCTCTCCTCAAGAAGCCTTCCCTGGACCTGGCAATGTTGGTTAACTATCGTCCGGTCTCCAACCTTCGTTTTGTGGTGAAGGTTGTCGAGAGTGTCGTCGCACGGCCCCTTCCCCACCACGAAGATGAGATGATGCATCTGGATCCATTCCAGTCGAGTTTCAGACCTGGGTAAAGCATGGAAACGGCATGGGTCGCGTTGGTTGATGATCTCTGGAGGGCTCGGGACAGGGGGTGCTCCTCTGTCCTGGTTGTCAGCCTCAGCTTTGCCTGCTTCAGCTGCCATAAGAAACGGGGGAGGGATTAGCTATGGGGGCGAAGGGTGGGAAGATGCAGGAGGTGTTTTTTTTCCATTGTAGGGCGTGTCTTCCCAAGAAATGAAAGTGAATCTTCAAAGGGGACGGCTGACCAACTGCCCTACATTCCTGATGAATGATGCTGCCAGACGTGATGCCACCTGACATTTGGGAGACCTTTGGATTGGCTGATGGTCAATGGACACGGGCGGGGGGGAGAAGCTTAGTAGATGCTGTTTCACGCATTTTGCTCACTTCCAGCTTTACCTGGGTTGCTATCATTTCATATTCAGTAAAAGTACTAATCTCTTCAAAATGATTGAGTTTGGGTTTTCCTTTCCTGGATATTGAAGGAAGCATACCTGACACTGGTCCTGTTAGATCTCTCAGCGGCTTTTGATACCATTGACCATGGTATCATGCTGCACCGGTTGGAAGAGTTAGGGGTGGGAGGCACTGTACTATGGTGGTTCTCCTCCTTTCTCTCCGGCCGGTTGCAGTCTGTGTTGGCAGGGGGGCAGAGGTTGACCCCAAGGCCCCTCATATGTGGGGTGCCACAAGGGTCGGTCCTCTTGCCCCTTTTGTTCAACTTTATGTA